CTTCCCTATGCAGCGTCCTCTGAGCAGGGCTCAACATCCTTCACTCTTGCTCAGTAAAGTCCAGAGCCACATCCTTGAATGCCATGAACACCTTTAACACAAAACAGAGCCCTGATCATCCAGGAGTCTGCCTTACCCACAGGTAAGAATGGAAGGCCAAGAGGATACCCTGAGGGAGGCAGAGAAGATTTCTAGACTTTATGTTGGATTGCAATGCTGATGCTAAGGATTCAAACACCATTCTTCTGCTCTTACCAGTCAGCATCATTTGTGCAGACTAGTGCCAATAGCCTAGGCTAGATGCTATGGAGGATAAAACAAAACAAAACAAAAGCTTCTACCTCTGGGGAGCTTTAAAACCTGACGGGGGTAGGCATTTGATATAGCAGTTAAGAGGCTGCTTGGGAGCCTGCATCCTATATCCAAGTGCCTAGGTTTGATTACGGTTCTACTCCCAATTCCAGCTTCCTTCCCTGGGAGGCACCAGGTGATAGCTCAATTACTTGGGTACCTGCTACCCAGGCAGGAGACTCAGATTGAGTTCCTGACTCCTGGCTTTTTCCTAACCCATCCCTGGCTGTTGCAAGCATTTGGGGAGTGAACCAATGAATTGGAGGGCTTTCTTTCACTCTCCCACTGCCCATTCTGCCTTTGAAATATTTTTTTTTAATAATTAAAAATAAAACAAGGAGAAGCCACTTACAATGATACAGTAAATTATCATCTTGCAGAGTCTGAAGAATTTCAGAGACTGCTTGGTCTAAGCAATTCTGTTCTACTTGAAGCAGCAGAGAATCTGGGGTGGTCGTGGTAGTAGTGGTAGTGCTTAACCCACCAATATTCTATATAGCAGGACTACCTCATATAGCAGGAGTCTCCTTCAACCTCACTCCAAAATGCACCCTTCTCAGATCCAAAGGGAAGTGAATGGTGGTGAAGACCATGGACTCAAACCATAATGTCTGAATTTGGAATCCATCTCTGTACTCAACTACTGCGACCAAGTTAACTAGTTAGTTAAAAGCTCAAACCTTCAGTTTCTTCTTCTGTGAAGTGAAAATTAGTGTTCATCTCGGGGGTTATGGTGAGGATTAGATGAGCTGTTAATTGTAAAGGACTCAGACAACTGAATACTGAACACAATTAAGGATCCAGGGAGGACTTCTCTAGCCATTCTATATAAAATTCCATCCCTCACTTGGGTGTTATCCCTCTCCTCCTTTACTGTACCCCTTTTTAAAAAAAATTATTTGTTTACTTATTTGAAAGGCAGAGAGAGAGAGAGCACGAGAGAAAATGATTTTCCATTCCCTGGCTCAATCTCCAAATGGCTGCCATCTGTGAAGCCAGGAGCTTCATCTGAGTCTCCCATGTGGGTGGCTGGAGCCTAAGTACTTGAATCATCTTCCGCTGCTTTCCCAGGTGCATTAGCAGGGAGCTGGATTGGAAGTGGGAGCAGTAACAACTTAACCCACTGTGCCACAATGCCAGCCCCTACTGTATTCTAAGATAATGCATGTATTATTTTTATTTTCCTGTCTTCCAGTAGACTGTAAATTCCACCTACACAGTTCACTGCTATTGCCCTGCTACCTAGAAACAAGACCTGCAAAGATTATCAACCTAATATTTTTAAATGACTGAAAATTATTTACATATTTCACTAGCAAATTTCAAATGAATCTCTGCACCCTAGAAAGCTGTACTTTGAAAGGTAAGAATATAAATATATGTATATATAGGATAAGATATAAACAAACTAAAGAAGCAACTAGGCAGTTTACAAGTATAATTTAAAGAAAATACATACAATTCAGCACTTACTCAGAGAATAAAACCATTTTTATATCTGCAGCCAAAGAGAGTCTCAAAATGCCAAATGGTCTCATAATGAAGATCAAATCAAGAGTTTGGCTGAAGCACTCAAACTTTTAAGGCCTCTGAAAACATTAAAATGATGCCTAGTAAACTAACAGTAGAAGTGGCATAGGAATATTCAACTTGCACAAACTTCTGGTGTTTCCCAGCAAATCAGAAGGGTTCCCTACTAACACTAAGAGTAGTAAGCAAGTACATATACACATGATTCAATATCATGTTGGCAAATTCCTGAACTGGATTTCTCATGCATTCTTGGTATTTACATTTTCTTTTTTCTTTTTCTTTTCTTTTTTTTTTTTTTTTTTTGACAGGCAGAGTTAGACAGTGAGAGAGAGAGAAAGAGAGAGAGAGAAAGGTCTTCCTTTGCCGTTGGTTCACCCCCAAATGGCCGCTATGGCCAGCGCGCTGCGGCTGTTGCGCTGCGCCAATCCGAAGCCAGGAGCCAGGTGCTTATCCTGGTCTTCCATGGGGTGCAGGGCCCGAGGACTTGGGCCATCCTCCACTGCACTGCCGGGCCACAGCAGAGAGCTGAACTGGAAGAGGAGCAACAGGGACAGAATCCGGCGCCCCGACCGGGACTAGAACCTGGTGTGTCGGCGCTGCAGGTGGAGGATTAGCCAAGTGAGCCGCGGTGCCAGCTGGTATTTACATTTTCATATTAATGAAATATTTCACAAGTGAGAGACATAGAACTCTCAGTTTTTCAATAAAATCCAGGAACATACAAATCATCAGCATAGGGGTGTAGGATTAAGAATAAGTCCTGGCCGGCACCGCGGCTCACTAGGCTAATCCTCCACCTTGAGGCACTGGCACACCAGGTTCTAGTCCTGGTTGGGGTGCCGGATTCTGTCCCGGTTGCCCTCTTCCAGGCCAGCTCTCTGCTGTGGCCAGGGAGTGCAGTGGAGGATGGCCCAAGTGCTTGGGCCCTGCACCCCATGGGAGACCAGGAGAAGCACCTGGCTCCTGCCATCAGATCAGCGCGGTGTGCCAGCCGCAGTGCGCTGGCTGTGGCGGCCACTGGAGGGTGAACCAATGGCAAAAGGAAGACCTTTCTCTCTGTCTCTTTCTCTCACTGTCCACTCTGTTAAAAAAAAAAAAAAAGAATAAGTCCTAACTTCTTTTCCTATCTAAATTCTATTCTTATTTATTGTGAAGGACAAAGAAGTCTGAAGGGACTGCCTTGTGGTCCAGTGGATTAAGCCACTGCTTGAGAAGCCAGCATCCCATCCTGGAGTACTGGATCTAATCACAGCAACTCCACTTCCAATTCAGCTTTCCTGTTAATGTGCCTGGGAAGGCAGCAGATGGTGGCCCAAGTGCTTGGGTCCCTGCCACCTCTGTGGGAGACTTAAATGGAGTTCTTGGTTCCTGGTTTTGTCCTGGCCCAGACTTGGCATTTGTGGGCATTTGGGGAGTGAACCAGTAAGATGAAAAATAGAGAAATCTCTCTCCCAATCACTCTTTCAAATAAATTATCTTTTTTTTCTATAAAGAAAAACAAGTCTGAAATAACTAAATTATCTCATATCAGAAATGACAGAAAAACAGCCTGGCAACTATGTCAGGACTCAATAAAAGTTAACTGAATTTATTTAAAGCAAGGTCATCATAGTCACCATACACAGGGATTTGAAAGCTTCCCCTAAAGTCCCTATATGCCTATATACCATATATCATCTATTTTCATATTCAAATCTCTTCTCAACATTCTTCCAAACTCAAATTACTCAAAAAACATTCTATATACATCAGTCTGGCATTCATGATTCTATCTAATCTGTGCCCACTCAGACCCAGAGGTGGAAAATGCAAATCAATGAGGAGACAAATAACTAATAAAAACAAAAGCAGCATGAAAATGGAGGCTGGCCAATGGTTTCAACCCCAGTATGAAGATTCCAGAAAACTTCAGCAAATAGACCCTACAGACCTCATTCAAATGATAAAGATACTGTTCAGCCCAAATTATCTGACACCAAAGGACCATGTTGCCATTGGGCACACTTATTTTCAGAGAAGCAAATAGTCTGAATTTTTGGTGAAATCTCCCAATTGCCAGGTGCTAAAAATAATCTCAAACACAAAATTCAAGTCACTCCTTGCCTCCTTGTTCCATATATAGATACCTGTCTGTATCTTCACATGTACCTATTTAAAAATCAACCTTAAATAAGTTCATTGACCAGGGCTTGTGCTGTGGCATAGCAGGTAAAGCCACTGCTTGCAGTGCCGGCATCCCACATGGGTGCTGGTTCAAGTCCTGGCTGATCCACCTCCTATCCAGCTCTCTGCTGTGGCCTGGGAAAGCAGTAGAAGACGGCCCAAGTGCTTGGGCCCCTGTATCTACGTGGGAGACCTGGAAGAAGCTCCTGGCTCCTGGCTCCATATCGACATAGCTCTGGCCATTGCTGGGGAGTGAACCAGTGGATAGAAGACCTCTCTCTCTCTCTCTCTCTCTCTCTCTCTCTCTCTCTGCCTCTCTGTAACTTTCAAATAAGTAAGATTAATTTAAAAAAAAAAAAAAGGTTCATTGGCCACTATAATCATCCCAATCTGTGGCAAGGGCACTGTGCCCAGTGGCCCGGTCTGAGACACTAACCATGCTTTCTGATCTCCTACCATTCCTATCTCTTGCTCAATTCTCCAACTTAACAAATCCTTGAGGGGCAGCTCTGACAGCTCCACTTCTCCCCAGAATCCTCCCCAACCATTTCAGGTCACAAGTGTAACACAGAGGAGTGAGTGTTGTTGCCCTACATCCACATTACTGTACAATTATGCATGAATGTCCCAGTTATCTTTTTAATTTAAACTTCTCTGTGTATTGTTCAGTTAACCACTTCTTGAATGACTGAGGGACAGATGGAGCAGAAAGGAATATTGAGGGAGGAGTATATGTAACACAAACCACTCTTCCAGAACTAAAAATGAACTTTGCCCAATACCAACATGGCAGCCTCCAGGGCAAGAAAAGTTAACTGATCCATCCTGTTGACAGTCAAGATGGAATGGTGGGTAATTCTCATCTCTTTTTTGGCTCTCAGGAGCCCTGTGGCCATTTTCCTGGTCTCCTTGGTGCTCTCCCTGGAGAGGGACAAAGTCTCAGAAGACAGATCTGAGGATATGAAGAGAAATGAGAGAGTGCCTCTAGATGGAAGTTCCTTCCCCACGAACTGAAGCAGAGTCTGCACCAGACCCTCACAATTAGGGATCAGGGATGTTACAGAAATCACCAGTGCAGCCCAGTTCCCATCCAGAACTCTGGGAAAGGGGCCTAGGTTGACTCAGTAAGCCCCAACCTCTGGCCAAGCAGTGAAACCCTTGTTGCCCAGCAATGAAGTAGGGTTTGTCTTGAGTCTTACGGGCTCAAATAAAGGAAAATAGCCTGGTAGTGCATATATTAGAGTGACCGAATTCAGAGGCAGCTCTGCTTCTCCATCCCAGGTCCCCGTGAGTAAAACGGGGTCCAGCAGAGGGACGTGCTGACTTCTGGGCACTCGCGGAACGTGGGGTGCACGCTGCGGGTCCTGGGGCCGAGGCTCGGGTAATGAAGTGTAGAAGCGTGCGAAAACCCCGATTAAAGAAGTCTACCCTATTGCCCACAAGCCTACCCGGCTGGACCCACCGACCGGAAGTGCTCATGTACGTCAGCGAGGCTCCCAGACGGGCGGCAGTAAGGGAGGACGGAAGTGACCGCAGAGGCCTCTGGGGAGTGTAGTTCTGGAGGAAGGCGGAGGACGGGGGGTTGGCTTCGCTCACGCAGGATTCCTCCGAAACCCGCACTGCTCATACAACCAAGTTGGGATTCCATTAAGATTCCCAGACCTCGAGGTCTTGGCTCTCTACAGATGTGTTTCTGCAGAGGCCAGTGTGCACTGCTCTTCAGCGACTCTCGCATGTCTCTTCATTTCTCAGGTGAGCCAAGTTCATCCGCCCAAGTCTCCACCCCCGCGAGCCCTTTCGCTAATAGAACCAGAGTCGGGAGCATGGTGCCTTGAGCCAGGTGCTTGTGGACGCTGCTGGGGGGGGGGGGGGGGAGAAGGGGGGGGGGGGGCCAATGCTCTGCGCAGACTCCAGGTCTGAGGGTGACAGTGGTCCTATGTCTTGATTCAAGAGTAGGCGAGCACTCCAGGATTGACAGACTCCAACGTTGTTTTCAGGAGAGCGAGAATGGCCTAGGCCAAACTTTTGGAATGGAAGTGAGGGAGACTCTGGTCATTTTCCTCTAGGATTCTAATAGGCGAAGAGCCAGTAACTGGGGTCAGCAGAAAAAGCTCCCCTGGTGATGGGGGCGGTGAGAACCCGAGGCTTGACCCACAAGTCCTCGAGGTTTTTATTGGAGGCTGGAGGACAGGTTTTGCTTGGAGGGAATGTCCCTTCCTGTGATTATGTTAGGGTTAAGGAGGGATGTTGAAAAGGCCTCATTCTGACAGCTTTGTTAAATATGGGCTCTTATTGTAAATTTATTTTTAAAAACACTACATAAAATATTACTTATCCTGATTATTGAGTTTATTTGGTGCCCTTGAAGTTTATATATATATATATATATTTGGTTTTTTTTTGAAAGGCAGAGTTACAGAGAAGCAGAAGCAGAGAGAGAGAGAGAGAGAGAGAGAAGTCTTCCATCCGCTGGTTCACTCCCCAAATGGCTGTAATGGTCGGAGCTAGGCTGAGCCAAAGCCAGGAGCCAGGAGCCTCCTCTGGTGTCCCATGTGGGTGCAGAGGCCCAAGGACTTGGGCCATCCTCCACTGCCTTTCCCAGGCCACAGTAGAGAGCTGGATCAGAAGTGCAGCAGCCAGGACTTGAACCGGTGCCCATATGGGACTCCTAACATTGTGCCCCCACACTGTTGGCCCCCAGTGCCCCTTAACTTTTGCTCCCATAGCTCTGACTCTGATGAAAGCTATGAATAGAACTTATCTCTAACATGAATCTCATTGGCACCCACTGGTCTGTAGCCTTGCCAGGAGGTGAATGCTTGTAGGCATTCATGAGTCAGAGTCCCTTAAGAGCTTTCCCTGAATTGCTGAATTGTAATTCTCTTATCTTTTCCTTCCCTGATTTCCTGAAAACCCACAATTTTCTGGTAACCACCCCCCAAGGTACTTCCAAGACCTGTAATGATGCTAATACTCAAAGATTATTCTTTTTTAAAACAATTATTTTATCTGAGAGGTAGAGTTACAGACAGTGAGAGGGAGAGACAGAGAGAAAGGTCCTTCATCCATTGGTTCACTCCCCAAATGGCCGCAACAGCTGGAGCTTCCCCAATCCGAAACCAGGAGCCAGTGCTCCTTCCCAGTCTCCCATGGTCAGAGCTAGGCTGAGCCGAAGCCAGGAGCCAGGAGTCCCTTCTGGTGTCCCTTGCCAGTGCAGGGGCCCAAGGACTTGAGCCATCTCCTACTGCTTTCCCAGGTCACAGCAGAGAGCTAGATTGGAAGAGGAGCAGCCAGGACTAGAACCTTTGCCCATATGGGATGCTGGCACTGCAGGTGGAGGTTTAACCTACTGCACCACAGCACTGGCCCTGATTATTCTTAAACATTTACTGTTGTGGTTGATTCATTCTGAGAGGAGGAGTGTGGTGGGGGCAAGAGGCGCAGAGTCACCACACAGACCCTGGGAGCCAGGTGAAAGCAGGCCTGAGGCAAGCAGCCTGCAGACTCGTTTATTTCAGTTGCTACAGCAGCTTATATAGCCAAGGCAGCCAATCCGGTCAAGGGGCGGTCTATGCCCTAACCAATCACAGCCTGTTGCCAGGCAGGCTCCATTGTCATGTGGTTTCCAAAACCATCCAATCACAGCCTGTTGCCAGGCAGTTTCTGTTGCCAGCAGCCATCTTGACATGGCCTTATCATTCCACCACATTTTCCCCTTTTTGTTTATTTCTGAGCAACAGGAGGCATGATTCTTGGCCATACCATTGTTGACCCTGTTTCCATGTGATCTCCGTATATGGCTCTGCCTGTCTTAGGTTGTCCCCCAGGGGATCTTACCTGTCATTGACTAACCAGTGCTCAAATCGAGAGAATACAGGAGTGCTTGCTCAGATCGGGGTAGGAATGAGGAACACTGGTAATCAGGAATGGAATGACCACACGCAGGCTGTGGTCTGTGGCTGACCAGAGCTAGTGGGGTATAAAGCAGTAGTGGATGTGGCTATGGGCAGTTCCTCAGGATAGGATGATAGAGCAGGTGCATCCACTAACAAGGTGGACTCTCTTGTTCAGCTGGTTCTGGTTGGCTGTCAGTTGCAAGCTTGATATTTCTGGCTGGTACCTAAATGGGCTGTCTCGCATTCTCTGGAAAAACACAAGCATATCCTTGACCCTTGGTTAGCAGAAGCCTTTTTACAGGCGTTGGAATCCAGGGCCTGAGTTCTGCATCCACTCCTACATTAATGGCAAACATATGGGTGGGATGGGGTCTAGCGGCTGCCCTGAGAGCCTGGGGTGCCCGAGGACTGCCACAAATGTGGGGATCCTCACTGGGTGCGGATGGGATGACCTTGCGTGGGTTATTACCTCGAGATCATCTAAATTCATCCCACGGGTATCTGGAGGGTGGCTGACTAGGCATTGCTGCATTGTCTGCTGTCATGTCATTTTAACTGTCAGAGCTCTCTCTCCCTAAGTCATCAACTGACATCTGTGAGGCAGGGACCTGGAGTGTCAGGCTCTTATCACTCACAGATTCATTATGTTCGGTAATCTGCATGGGATTCTGAGAGGGGGGTATCTTTCCCATGTTTGAGGGCTTAAGAACAGCACGCCACGCCAACTGTAGCCAAAGGAAAGACACCCACAGCACTTCTGCCATAACTACACAAATTCCTAGCACCTCAGCGGCTGATGGCATTATGCAGGAGGTTCTTTATGTTAGACAAACAGTGGTGTATCAGATTGTATGTATGTCCTGTTTTTAGTGGGGGACTTCCTTGATTCATTAGGTCAAGGCTGTATGCCCATATGGTGTCTCCGGAATGTCACCTCTCTCTAGTGAAGGAAGATGACTTAGTTCTGAATTCTGGGATGATCAGTCCCTTATTTGAATTCGCTGGGCAAACTGAAAGTGAAAGGAGGAGCCAAGAAGCGGTGTTACGCATCTGGGCAGTGTGTGCCTAACCTGGGGTCACTTAGACCAAGGACAAGGACAAGGAAAGGGGCGTAGGAGGGGGTTCTGTGCTCACCCTCACAGAACCGAACAGCACACAAAACACTGAGGGGCCTACTTGCCGAAATCCAGGGGGGACCTTGCCAAGTCTGACACGCTCTCTCTCTCAGTTACATTGGCACACCAGATGTTGAGGTTGATCTGTTCTGAGAGGAGGAGTGTGGTGGGGGCAAGAGGCTCAGAGTCACCACTCAGACCCTGGGAGCCAGGTGAAAGCAGGCCTGCAGACTCGTTTCTTTCAGTTGCTACAGCAGCTTATATAGCCAAGGCAGCCAATCTGGTCAAGGGGTGGTCTATGGCCGGCGCCAAGGCTCGCTAGGCTAATCCTCCGCCTGCGGCGCCGGCACACTGGGTTCTAGTCCGGTCGGGGTGCCGGATTCTGTCCCGGTTGCTCCTCTTCCAGTCCAGCTCTCTGCTGTGGCCCAGGAAGGCAGTGGAGGATGGCCCAAGTGCTTGGGCTCTGCACCCACATGGAAGACCAGGAGAAGCACCTGGCTCCTGGCTTCGGATCAACGGGGTGCGCTGGCCGCGGCGGCCATTGGAGGGTGAACCAACGGCAAAAGGAAGACCTTTCTCTCTCTCTCTCTCTCTCTCACTGTCCACTCTGCCTGTCAAAAAAAAAGGGGGGGGGCGGTCTATGCCCTAACCAATCACACCCTGTTACCAGGCAGTTTCTGAAGCCATCCAGTCACAGCCTGTTGCCAGGCAGTGTCTGTTGCCAGTGGCCATCTTGGCGTGGCCTTCTCGTTCCACCACAATTTACACCCCACTCCAGAGTGTCTTCCAATATCCCTTCACCTGGAGAAGTAAAAACAAGGTTTGTGTGTTAGGAAAGAGGATCAGTCCAGATCCCTATTCCGGCCTAGGCCAACAGCTTCCACAGGGATTTACTATCCACAAATGTAGAAGTGTTGCAACAATTCAGTGTGAATCAAAGTCAGGTATGCAGCTGTGCTCTGAGGGGGCACAAATGAAATGGAGGAATTGGAAAACCTCTGAGAGAGACCGGGAGAGTGGAGTGAGGATTTAGGATCCTGAGGTAAATCAGATTCCTATGTACAGAGACCCAGGCTGAAACAGTGTTTCTAATTAACCCAAGAATTTACCAGAGCAGGTCAGAAGGTAGTGGGACTCTGGAAAAACAAGAGCCTGGGGAAGCAACAGTGCTATGGTTTGTGTTCCACAAAGTTTCATGTAATTGGAGGCTTGGTCTCCAGGATGCTGGTACTAGAGCTGGTAGAACTTTTACAAGGTAGGGCATAGCAGGAAAGCCTTAGGTCACGGGGAACGTGAAGTCGTTCACACAGAACCCCTTGACATCTCAGGAGAGGGTTATTATAAAAGAGTCTGGCCTGGCTCCATCCAGCTCTCTCTGCTTCCTGGCTCAAGATGTGATCACTCTTAGCACTGCAATTGGCGAAGGTGTGACACAGCCAAGAGAAGACCCTCAACAGATCTAAACTGATGCAGACACCATGCTTTGAACCTCTTTCTTCATAAGTAGCCTATGTCAGTTATTTTATTATAGTGATATATAGCTGTCTAATTCAAGCAGTATCTCTTAAAATCCACAGAAAGGAACAAACAGGAACGAAACACCTAAGAAAGCATGTACAGCTACATTCATGTAAATCAAAGGTGATACAAGCTGAGTGCTGTGTACTATGGGCCAGATGCAACTTGGACCTGAGTTTTGCCTTGTGACTCTCAGAGCCATCTGTGATGTCTGTGCTTTAGG